AAAAATATAAATATATTTTTCTAGGAGTGATTTTTTCCTCCAGGGAAAAGCTGCAAAGGGAGGGAGCACCCCTCCAGGTGGTCTCCACTTGGTGTCAGGGATCCCTGACAGGGTGTTGTTCCTATGATCTTTATAAACCATGTTATAGAAAGTCTAGAACACAGAAAAGACAACAGATGGCCTTTCAAGCCCATGGTTCCCAGGGCTGGGAGTGGTTCTGCTCTCACCCTGTGCATTTTCTGCACTTGTCTCCACACAAGCCTCTGGCATGAGGTGGGGTCTTGCTCTCCCAGGAAGAGGGCAACTCAAGAGAGGTAGAGGAACAACAGCTTCAAGACCCACTGGTGGGCATGGGCATGGGCATGGGCGTGTGTCTCCTCTGGTGGGGCGCCAGAGGAGATATGTGCAAAGGTATCATCGCATGATAGACAGCCTTGGGACTTGTGAAAGGGCACATTTCTCAAGGCCACCTCCGAGTGGCCATCAGGGCCTGTGCCAAGGCGAAGTCCACAAGAGCTAGAGGAAGCCCCAGGCTGTCATACTTAAGGGGACTGGCACACAGAGGGCTTCGAGCCTGGGCCACCTCGCTGTCCCTTGGAGCTGAAGCACTCTCTGCTTCTCTTCCACGCCCCTGTTTGACCTTCCTGACTGCTAGGCCAATGTGCCAAGTTGGTGGACATTTAAGTGGACAGCAGAACACCGTAACAACCACCACCCAGTGTTGCGTCAACATTAGGCCTCTTTCTCTCTTGGAAAGAGGGAGGTAACGTATGCCCCTGCCTTTTACCGTATTTGCCGGCGTATAAGATGATTTTTTGGCCCTGAAAAATATGCCTCCAAGTGGGGGGTCGTCTTATACGCCAGGTACACTTCAGATAGACTGCCCATAGTGCTTGCCCCGTGCCATAGTGGCCTCCCGATGCCCGCCCACTTCATTCCACATACCGTTCAGGCATCAGCAGCGCTGCTGGGTGTATGCTCGGCTGTTATGCGATTTTGCTGTTATGCGATTTTACCACACTCGCAAAATCGCACACAGCCGACCATATAACAAACTCTGTATTTTGAGTGGAAATGTTAGGGGGTCGTCTTATACGCCGGGTCGTCTTATACGCCGGCAAATACGGTATATATTGCTGTAAAACACTGGGCCACATGATAGCTTGTGCAAGAATGTGTAGTGCGAACACAGCAGGCAGAGAGAGGCCCAGCCCCTGTCCCCAGTCACCCTGAGTCACTCCCACAGTGTGACAAGCAGCTGCCCACAGGAGGCCCCGAGATATTCACCTTCAGATTCTGAAAGCCCTATAGAGAGTGGTGGGTGAAATGAGACTCCAGCTCTGGGCATCCTCCTCAGGTCTCCTTTCCACCCTTACCTCCCCAACCTCTGTGAACAGGAGTTTCCCTCTGCACCCCGCTCAGCTCTTGAGAAGCTGGGGAGACCCAGGCCAGTGCTCCCAGTCTGGAGAAGTGGAAGGGGCTTAGGCAATGGCAACCACAAGTCTGGCTTCAAATTCCAGTTCCTCCATTTGCATGTTGTGTAACATCAAGGAAGACCATTTGTCACTCAGACTCTTATTTTCCTAAAAGAGAAGTGGGGGCGGTGCATGAGATCAGCACATGAGATCTGAGATCCCGGGGAAATGTCACAGGCACAGGAGGTTCTTGGAAATAGTAATACAACGTGAGGTTGAGCACTTGGAATGTGTGCCTATGGACCTGTGTTACACTATCATTTTCACCAACATCCTTACTCCTGCCAGTCCTCCTTGTACAAAAGGGACTGAGGCTCAGAGAGGTTAAGGAACTTACCTGAGATCACACAGCTAAGAAGCGATGGAGCCAGGATGTGAGCCCAGCTCTGTCTCCAAAGCCTGTCTTTTTATTCTTCATCCTCTACTGCAATTCTAGGCAAAGCTGGACGGAGCACAAATCTGCCAGACTTACATGGTCTGCTGAGACACATGGGGAAAAGAAGAGGAATTGCCATGTTCTCTGGCCTGTAGGAGGAGCCCAGCAGAGCTGGGTTAAAATCCTAGGATCTCCACTTTCTCGTTGCATGATCTTATGCAAGCCACTTCGCCTTTCTGAGCCTCGGTCTCTTCATCTATACAGTAGGATTGATAATGTTTGTCTTGCCTGCTTGTAGGGAGAATTAAGTGAGTGAATGGTTGTACAGGGCCTGCTTGGAGTAGGTGCACAGAGAATTACATCTGCCAATGTTTCAGGAGACATGTGGAAGTGCCCCCTCCATCCCATCTCCTCTGCTTAGCAGACCCTCCTCCTGCGCTGGAGGCCCTTGCATGCCTCTGTGTTCCACTTCTCTTGGTTCCTTCTTATCTTATAAGGTCCACTGGAGGCTCAGCAGCCTTTCAGCATGACTGAAATATGCCCTTATACGCTGTAAAAACAAGCATACCATTTGACCCAGAAACTTCACTTCAGGAATCTATCCCAAGGAAGTATTTACCACCCATTCATTGAGTGAGTCTCAACAATGCTGGTTTGTTGAGCACCTACTGTGTGCTGGGCCCTGTGCAATAGGCTGGGGATACACTGAAGAGCAAAGCAGTCTGGTATCCTGGTCTCTGCCCTCCAGAAACCAACTATCTAGTTGCTGACGAGACTTTAAAACAGTAATTACACAGGTAAATGTATAACTGCAAATTTTAATGGCAAAGAAATGGTTTCCATATGCGGTTGTCATACGCTTTTGCCTGCTAGTTTTGGTTAAGTCCACGTCTGTGTCCAGGAACCTGGGAAAAGATAAAGGCCAAGTGAAAGAGAGGGATTGGAAATTTTCTGTTGAGTGTTATCAACCAAAAGTGTTTCCTTGAAGGTCATAATGGGACTTGATTTCAGCTGGGTCCTGGGATGGGCTGCAGTGTCTGTAAATGTTTATACAAGAGTAGAAAAAGACAAATAAAAAGAATAGGCTACCCAGTGGGAAGAAGCACTCCCGGCGACCAGATTGTGGTTCCTATACACCGTTTTCCAATAAAAGGAACCAGGGCTTCTGGGAGAAATGGCTGATTGTAGAACTGGGGCAGGAAAAAGACAAGATGAGCCTGGAGCACCTTGGAGCACCAGACAGTAAGGAAGTGCTCAGGAAACAGAATGATGTGGGAACAGCAGAGGGACCCAGGAGCCAACCTGAAGGAACTCCCAAAGCTGAAACAATTTGAGCAACAAAATAAATAATATAGTCTTGGGTTCTAAGTCAAAGTATAAAATAAATGTACACGAGTCCATGCTGGCATAAAAAAATAAATAAATGAGTTGGGGGGTGAGGGGAAGAGAAAATCTTTCTTACAGAGGAATTCCAAGTAATGTATTTGGATGCTCCCTACTCCGGGAAGTGGGGCTTAGCTCCCCCTGAGGGTGGGCTGCACTTTGTGACTTGTTTCCAAAGAACAGGGTATAGAGAGAGGAAAAGAGAAACTTTACAGTGGAGAAGCCTGGAAATGCCACCTTAACCAAGCGATCAAGGTTAACATCACAGTGAGAAGTCATGTGGGTAGCATGTGCCCCATGAGAGGATGTGATGAGAAGGATACCTCATCTTGAGGGCAGTATCCTTCCCTCAAATCCATAACCCCAGACTGGTCATGAAAACATCAGAAAAGATACCAAATTGTAGGACAGTCTGCAAAATACCTGCCCAGTGCTCCTCAAGGCGGTCAAGGTCGTGAGAAGAACAAGGAAATGTTGGGAAAGTGTCACAAATAGGACACATGATGACTAAATGCAATATGGGATCCTGAATAGGATTATGGAACAGGAAAAGGACAACAGACAAAATCCAAGTAAAGCCTACAGTTTAGTTAATGGTAATTCAGCAATGTTGGTTTCTTAGTTTTGATAAATGTACCATGGTAATGCAAGATGATAGTATTGGGGAAATTTGAAACTAGCTGAGGGATATATGGAAAGTCTCTACTATTTTTGCAACTTTACTATAAATAAAAAGTTAAAACAACAACAAAAAAACACAGGCAAAATAAAGAGTGGGAATAAACCGCAAAATTTTAGTAGTATTTTATATAAATATAAATATATATATATATTATATATTTTTATATATTTGAGAGTGGGAAAAGAATGTTTGTCCTCTTTTTGTCAAATGTCTTTCATAGGGTTTATTTCTTTTATTTTAAACTTTCATTATTATTTCTGATTAGAAGTCTCCTATTACTTCGAGTGACAAAAAAAAGAAAGCATTTTGCACAATGCTTATATCATCTCATTTAATCCTCATAACCAGCTAAGATTCTTTACCCTATTTTACAGATAAGTAAAATCAAAGTGATTCACCTGAAGTTATATAACAAGAAGGTGAAGAGCTGGGATTCGAACTTCTGTGGATTTAACTGACTCCTGAGGGACAGAGAAACGGAACAGCCTTAACTCTCCTCGCGGGGTCAGGAGAAGAGGTTGGAGTCTCTCCTAAACAGATTTCTCTGTAGTCCAAGGAAGATTTTTCATTAGAATTGTCCAGAGGGTCTGAGCGTCCTGAAAAGGTAATGAGCTCCTCATCAGTAGAGGACTATGGAGTGTTCTGGAGAGGGATTCAGGCGATCTGATGCTGTATTTCCTCTTCAGACCCAAAGGTCAGGGCTGTGTCTCTCCTATAAGACCCAGAATTACACCAGGCAGGCCGCGTTTTCTCCTTGTGAGTGGGGGAACCGAGGGGTTAGGGTGGAGGGAGAGACTGGGGTTTCTCCTTCATCTTCATCATCGTCCCTCCTCCACCATGGGGTCCATCACTGACGATTGAGGACGTGGGGGTCTGCTTTCATTTACTCAGAGCGGCCCGGGGGGGTCAGGTTCCCGATCTAGACCTTCTAAATCATGCCATCAATTTGACAGATAGGTATTTTAACCCCATTCTAGAGATGCGGAAACTGAGGCTGGGAGAGGGAAGCGGATTACCCAAGAGCTCGGGGTTGGGTGCCCCTGCGAGCGGCTCCACCCAGCGGGGGGGGGCGGGGGGGAAAGGCGGGCTCCCGGCTGCTCAGTCCGCGTCCAGCGAGCCGCGGGGACCATGGAGCCCACGTCGTTGCAGGACTTTGTTTGTGCGCTGGACCCCGCCTCCCTCCCGCGTGTACTGAAGGTCTGCTCGGGGGTCTACTTCCAGGGTGAGTGAAGAGCCAAGACACCCCAACCCCCTGCCTCGCCGCTGCCAGGTTCTCCCTGGGTAAGGGGCAGAGGCGCCGCCAGGGAGTTAGAAACCCAGGAAGGTGCGCCTCGGATTCGAATCCCAACGCTGCCAAGCTATGTGATTTGGGGCCGCGCACAACCTCTCCAGGCCTCGGCTTTTGCTTCCGTAGAATGGGGTGGGGGTGTCGCTGATTGCTCCTCAGGGCAATAATGAGCTCAGACACCCAGATGGGTGGAATCGAGTCAAGTCGGGCTAGAGCCGCGGTGCTCATTGATTGAGGTCGGATTGTGCGGGTGCGCGTCATTAAAGCGCTCATGACATGTAGCTCTTGCTTGATTCTTAAGTGCCAGGTAGCCCTCCCCTCCTTGTGACCTCCCACTCCCTCCTGACGCCCATCTACACCGCCTTCCTTCAGTCCGGCCATCCCACCTTGGTCCTCTGCTTGGCGATGGGCAGTACTTGATCTGATCAGCTCTTCAATTCTCAGCTTCAACCGCCCCTCCTCCTGGAAGCCTTCCCGTCTCTCTGCTCCTTGCATGCCTGAACTTCTGCCCACTTATTTCACAGGGATGGGTACACAGCAGGGGCTCAGTCACTAGTGACTGCCTGAAAGAGCAAGAAGTAAGGAATTGTCAGGCCGTGGAAGGGAGAGGACGGCTGCTCAGCAGATGGGAAGCCAGGGCTGCTGAGGGCCAGGGAGGAGCTGTGGGCATTGGGGTGGAGGAGAGAGGGAATGGAAACATTGGGTGGTGCCCAGGGGGTTCCATCTTTAGAGAACAAACGAATTCATGGGTGCCCTAGCCATCCTGTCCCCTCTCCCTGCTCTGTCACAGCAGCTTCCAGTAAAGTGTTCTGAGGTCCCAGGTGGATCTTACACCAAGGGTAAGATACACGGAGGGCCACACAGTGTGTAGGACAGGCCACCACACAGTGGGTCTGGCCAGGTTCACTTGGGAAACGGATGGATCTCACTTCAAATTCTGATGCTACCTCTAGGGGCTCCCTTGCAGGCTCCTGTGTGCTGTTTGTTCTCCTCCCAACATCTCCTGCTCACTGTGTCATAATACATGAGCTTCCTCATTCTGCTTGAGAAGGGTGGTGGGAAATGACAGAAGTTGGGGAAAGAGAAGAACCTGACGGGGTGTGAGGTGGAGGTTGGGGTGAGTGTGGAGGACAGGTGGTGATACTGGACACTTGCATGGGTCAGGTAGCCTGCACACTTCCACTTGAAAGCCGTTAGGAGCTGCAGCTTTGGAGATAAACACCCTGGCCTCTTATTAGCTGTAATCTTGGGCCACCTGCTCAGCTTCCCGGAAGCTCAGTCAGTTTTATCATTTAGGAAAGGGAAACTGTCTTGAGGGAAGTCACGGATCAAATGCAATGATGCATATGCCATACTGACCACAATGCTTGGTAGCTGGCTTCTGTTCTCACCAGCTCGAGGGCCCACTCCCTGAGACTGTAGACAGAACTGTGTATTTTATGAGCCTGTGTGTGTTTTCCTGGGGGTAGGGGTGGGGTTTTCACCAGTTTCTCAGGGCTGTTGGGAAGGGCCCTGCGAGGGCTGCCCTGGGGTGGGGTGGGGGTGGTGTCAGGCGGCCTCAAGTCTCATCCACGGGCACTTTTCTGTCCATCTTCAGCAGGATGCAGAGCCTGTGCACTCTGTGTGAGACAGATCTCTATTGGGCACCTTCTGTGTTCCGGACACTATTTTAAGCACTTTAACGCTGCTGGGCTTGAAAGTGGGGGCCCAGAACCCTGCCCAAAGAGCCCACACTGTTGTCGAGCCTCCATTCTCTCCTGAACTTCCTTTAAAAACAATTCATCTGAAAAAGAAAGCACCAGGGTGGATGCTAGGCTCTGTGTGACCTTGGGTAGCTACTGACCTTTTCTGGGCCTGATTTTGTAATAAGGAAATGGGGAGTCACTCCATCCCACCTTTGCCCCTGTTTAGGCTGGGCCATCCTGGCTGCAGTGATGCTGAGATGGATCAGTCCTGCCCTGTGAGCTGTTTAGGAGGCATGGGGATGTGAAGAAGGCCAGAGCCACAGAAGGGTACATACAGCTCTAGAAGGCAAAGGTGGCATTTATGCTCCCTGAGGACAGCTGAGCCAGTGGTCATTAGGAAGGGAAAGACAGGGAAGGGCATTCCAGGTGGCAGGAACACGTGTGCAAAGGTGTGGCAGAGCCGGGCTTGTGGGGGAACAGGGCGCAGGCTGCCAAGTGCTTGGTGGCCCTTATTGAATGGGGAAACTGAGTCTATATCTCCGCAGGCTCTATCTACGAGATCTCTGGGAATGAGTGCTGCCTCTCCACAGGAGACCTGATCAAGGTCACCCAGGTTCATCTCAAGAAGGTGGTCTGCGAGAACCTGGGGACGGGCCAGACCATTGAGCTGGACCCCAACTTCCAGGGTAAGGTGGCACCTCTGTCTCCCCGAGTGCCTTAGCACCTTCCAGGCACACCTGCAGACACACTCTTGGGTTTGCCAACCCTAGTATACACTCCCACCCTTCTGGGTTGGCACATGTGGCTCTCATGTCCACTGTTACCCAGCCTGAAGGCCCAGGAGGTCCTCAGGGTGGTCTGACAATGCCCTGAGTCTGACATGGCTGCACCCTCTCCTGTCCATCTCTCTTATCACATCTTGGCTGGGACTTTTTTGTTCCAGATCTTTGTCCATGCGTCTGTCTCCATGTTTGCTTACACATTCACTTACTAAGCATTTACTGACACCCGCTGTATGGCAGGTCCTGTGCTGGGGGCTGAGGATGTGGGGCTCAGGAAGCTCCAGGGGCAGCTCTCTGGTGGAGAGCTCCCAGGATGGCAGTGAGAGGAAGCAACGAGAAGAAGGCACAAGTTTAGAGAGGGCTCCGGTGGGAGTAGCTGCCTCAGCGGTCTGTGCAGGCTTCCTAGAGGAGACGGCATCTGAGCTGAAAGAAGGATCCCTAGAGGGAGTAACCAGAGGGAGTAGCATGTGCACATTTGGGGCTCCAGAAACCCCATGGAGCTCTGTTATTGCAGGAGGCGTGTTGTGTGGTGGACCGTGGGCCAGATGCTGGAGCCAACAGCCTGGATGAGAAATGCTCTGCCAGCCACTAGCTGTGGCCTTGGCGAGTTCCTGTGGCCTCTATGGGTCTCAGCTTCCTCCTCCATGATTGGGGTGCTCAGACTTGATGTGAGGACGAAATGAGTAGCCATGCATGAAGCATGCAGAGCAGGCCTGGCACGGAGGTGCTCTTTGGGGGCTGGCTCTTATTATGATTCACTGTGATCCCCAGAACAGGATGGTGAGGGTGTGGTTCCAGGTGATGCGCAAGTGGTGGGAGGGGGGGAGGCCAGAGCCCCGGGGACTTGTGTGGGGTGTGGACACATTTCTGTCTTTATTCTTAAAGCATTGAGGAGCCAGGAAGGGTTTTAATATGAAAGTGATGTGTGGCTCAAGAGTGCGAGCTCTGAGCAACAGCGGTTCTAGTCCCAGCCCGAGTTGAACTGCCGCTGAGCTGCCAACAGGTGGCAAGATGGCTCAGCTAAAAAAAAAAACAAAAACAAAAACAAAAAAAAAGAAAGTGATGTGTGTTATTTTGTATTTTGAGGATTTTGTTTTTATTCTGAAATACTTTCAAATTTACATAAGCCTGGCTGGAACTACTGTACACCCTTATCCAGATTCACCAATTGTTAAATATTTTGTTATATTTGCTTTCTTTCCCTTCCCCACCTCTCTTCACACACACACATACACATATTATATATAAACATATGTTACTATATATATATATATAATATATATATATTTTTTCCCCTGAGCCATTTGAGAATAAATTGTAGACATGACGCCCCTTTGCATCTAAATATCACTCCTAATATTTAGTGTATGTCCTAAAAATAAAGACATTCACTCACAAAACTATAATTGAATGATCAAATTCAGGAAATTTCATATTGATATAATGATAGTGTCTAATCCACAGTCTGTATTCAGATTTCACCAACTGCCTTAACAGTGTCCTTTGTAGCAGCTTTTCCCCCCGATCCAGAATTCAATCCCAGATCACATGTTGCAGGCAGTTGTCCTATTTCTTTAGTCTCCTTCAGGCTGGAAGAGTTCCTCAGGCTTTTTTTGTCTTGACATTGATTGACGTTTTTGAAGAGTCCAGACCAGTGCTTTTGCAGAAAGCCCCTCGCTCCTGGTTTGTATGATATTTCCTGGATTGGATGAGCGTTGAGTGTATTGGATAGGAAAATCCCGGAAGTGAAGTTATGTCCAGATGTGGGTTATTTTAGGCCAGTTGGGTGGCGGAAGAATGGATGGGGGGAGGGGTACAGGGGAGGAGGGCAGTGGGGCAGCCAGAATTGGCAGACAGTTAAGGCAGGGTCAGAGGTCATTTGGCCAATAGTTCCTGGGTTCCTAATTTAGGAGAGAGGGCCAATGGTGCTGCCCCAGGATGGGGTGATAGGTGGTAGATGTGCAAGATTGGAGTAGTGGTGAGGTATCAGGAGGCAAAATTGGCAAAGGTAGAGGCAGGTGGGGTCAGGAGGTAGGAAAATGTGGCAGTTGTCAGTGTATCTGTTGGGGAACGCATCCCTGTTCTATTCTGTGTCTCTGGTGACAATCCATTCTGAGTCCGTGCTTGTATGTTAGAAGAAACTGTCTCCACCTCTGCCCCTCATTGTCCATTCACACATGGTCACTTATTGCCTCCCGTCCCTCAGTCCTGCAGCCTGGGTGTCCAGATGCTGGCCTGCCCTTGGCACCTGTCCTCAGGGTATTCCATCTGGGTTCTCTGCAGCCAGACTGGAGCCTGGTATATGCAGCCCTGGACCCAACAAAAGCCTGCCCTGCCCTGACACCGTCTGTTGTGCCCCACAGGCCTCTTCAGTCCCCTCACCGGCCACCGGAGCTATGGAACCCTGGAGGAGCTGGTCTCTGCTACAATCCACAGCTCCAAGCAGCTGCCCATTTGGTTCATGTCGACCCACAGAATTGACACAAAGGCCAGGGTGGTGCCACAGGAGCAGCCCCTCATGCTTGAGGCTGTGGAGATGTACCTCGGGACCTGCAGCGCTCGCTGTGTGCTGAACATGGGAACCGAGACGGTCAATCTGCACCTGCCCCTGTCCCAGAAGGGAACCTTCTGGGAATTGGAGACTGGTGCCCCTCAGACCCTGCTGCAGGCCCTGCGGGACCCAGCCTTGAGAGGACTCCTCCTTACTTGCCCCTCCCTCCCCTGGCACTCTGTTACCTTGAGGCCCCAGTATGAGATCCAAGCCATCATGCACAGTGAGTTGCCGGGCAGGTGGGTGGGGGTTGGCGGGGAAGGGAAAGAGGGGACCCTGGGGAGCTGCTCTGATGGAAGACCCTCCCCCAAACCATCTGGCGGATAGTGGATTCCAGGTGGTTTACACAGTATATACAAAGTAACAGAATAAAAATTCCCAAAGTGTGGAAGTTAGATGTAACTTCCACTAAGGAGATAGAAAGGGCCCGCCGAGTGGCTCGGTTGGTTACGAGCTCGCTCAAGAGCGCAAGCTCTGAGCAACAACGGTTCGATTCCCGGCCCGAGCTGCCACTGATCTGCCAACAGGTGGTAGGATGGCACAGTTAAAAAAACAAAACAAAAAAACCAAAAAAATGAACAAAAAAAGGAGATAGAAAAATGGGCTATGAAGAGTAAGGTCTCAGGTACTTTATAAAAGCAAAAGTTGGGTTGTGAGCTTGCTAGCAGCTAGGACAGAGACACAGTGTTATAACGTGAAACGTTGACCATTTGCTCAGGAGAAAAAACATTTTCCTGCCTCTGAGGAGAGCAGGATTGTTCCTGAAGATCCTTCTATTGGGAGATAGAGGGTACTGAGTTTCATAGATTATTTCTTAGGACAGGCTGGTGGCAGCACACAGAGCAGGGTTGGTGATGCAGAGGCAGAAGCTGGTCTGCCTGGCTAGTCGGAGGCTGAGCCTGAGTGGAGGAAGAAGGATGGTGCCCCAGGACCTCTTCCCTGGAGGCCAGATTTGAGGTTCAGCTCCCTGGAAGTTACCAAGAGAAGAGCCAAGTGGGGACTCTTTGCTCTGTTTTTTAAAAATCTTTTAAAACGATTTTATTATGAAAAAATGCAAACATATACAAAAGCAGGGAGCAGTATAACGAACCCCCATGACCCCACCACCCAACATCACAATTATCATCTCATGAGTTATCCTGGTTCACGTCTCCCCATCCCCACTCTCTCCTCTCCACCCCACCTGATTATTGCAAAGCAAACTCCAGGTATCACAGCATTTCTTTTGTAAATACTCTAGTATGTGTCTCTTTTTAAAGAAGTGTCTCTATTTTAAAATATGTGACTTTTTTTTAACAGACATAATATCATCATCATACCAAAAAGATTAACAATTAACTCCTATTACCACTACTTGGTAATAACCACCTGGTGCTTGCATTTCCTCGTCTCATGATTTTTTTCTACATTTTATTCACATCAGGCCCACAACGCTGCTATTGATTATTATGTCTTTTGAGTCCCCTTTAATCTATAGGTTCCCCTTCTCTCTTTTTCTTGTAATTTATCTGTTGAAGGGAATAGGCCATTTGTCCTGTAGGCTTCCTCACGTTTTGTATTTTGTTGCTAGCATCCTTGTGGAGGTGTTAACCTGCTCCTCTGTCCCTTGATTTTCCTGTTGGGATGGGCCCTGAGCCCACCCCCAGGTTCGAAGAGTCCATGGGGGGATTCACAGGACTCGGTGTATAGTCCTTCGGCGTGTAGTCATACTCACAGCCTTTGATGTATCACGACAAAACGACACAAGGCACAGTTCACCAAGGGAAAAAGTGCATGTGGAGAAGCCCAGAGGAAACCAGGTGCAGCTTCAAAGAGTCCCCTTCTGGTGGAGGCACACAGGGCACACTTCATTCCTCCAAAGCTGAATTGTGACAGCACGTGTGAGGTGTTGTCTGCCAGGGAAGCTCATGAGAGACTCAGTGCCCAAGGTTTTTATTGGGGGCTGCTTACGTAGGCACCCTCTGCCTAGCATGCACCCAAATTCCAGACTCCCGGGAGGAAAGCAGGCGTTCACACTGTTAGTACAGGTTAGGCACAGTTACCCACTCTGACCAGGGAATGGTGGGGCCCGGCCCCAAGTCCACATTCCCACATGCCGGCCAAGGTCCAACCTTGCAGGCAGACTTTTCTAGGGACAGCAGCATCAGGCCAGCTATGTTCGCTCTTTTCTGCACACCTGTAAACAGGCACTTAGCTCTAGAGGCTTGACCAGATGCAAGAGTCAGTTTCTCATTGTTGCATGAGGTGTGGGACAAGGATCCCCACTTGGCTCTGTGTCTGCCACCAATCTAACTTGAGCACCAGCCTTGCCACGTGGCATAGATCAAATAACACAATGATGGGCCAGTGTTTGTGGCGTGAGCGGCTGTTGACCACTTCCTAGATCCATGATTTTATTAGGAATCGCAATGGTGATATTTTAATCCTATCATTCCTTCTTCAGTTATTAGCTGGAGAACTACATAAAGGGAGAACTCCCCCATCTACTCTTTGCTTACAGTTTGTACAGGAAATATAGGACATTGTGTTTGCATATGCAGAGGTCCCTGGGCACCATTCTTCACCTCCGCTCAGGCTCAGCCTCTACCTGGCCAGACCTAGCCAGGGCCTGCCTCTGTATCACCAACCTTGCCACTAGCCTGCGCTGAGGACTGTCCTAATAACCTTTTTTTTACTAGTTTTTAAAATAATGAGTTGGCTTCCTAGAATCCTGCATGGGTGCTTATTTAAGTGTCTTAATTTTTTTTGTCAGTATAAAGTCACAGATGAAATGTTTTCAATATTCCAATCCACTGAAATTTTTATTCTTATTGATGCTCAAATTATCTCAGCTTTGGCCAGTGGGAGCCTTTTCAAGCTGGCTAAATCCTTTTGACATAAGTCATGGTCTTGGATAGGTTTTCTTGCTTTCTGGTATAAGATGTCCCAGGTTCATTTTGAACATTTTCTCCCCAGGAACGTGAAATTAGCTCTTTCCCAGGAAGCCTTGGACTTTCCTGGGAAATGGCCGTAAGAGACCACAATCTGGGGAGCCAGGGGTTTCAATGGCAGGTGGGGTTTGGCAGACTGTGTTGGATACTGAGGTATATCAGGAAATCCACAGTGTTTTGAAGAAGAAACCAAAACAGTATAACGAACCCCCATGTGCCCATTTCCCAGCTTCAACCAATTATCGGCTCTTCTGGCACAAAGCAAAAATCCCAACAGTGTGACTGGAGGGAAGTCATCACCGCCCCTCTGAGCCTCAGTGTTCTCATCTGCCAAATGGGCAACATTTGCTCCGTCTTCCATGTGTGCGGATCAGACAGCACAGCGGATGGGCCAGTTTTCCTCATCCTCTTACAGTCCCCTCTTGAGTTTACACCCAGGTACTAATCCAGAGAGGAAACAAGTTCCTCGAGGTTATTTAGTCAGTGCTTTTCTTGATTTCACTTTATTTCTTTATTTAAATCCAGAAACGACCTGGACAGGCAGCTTATACAACTACATGCAAAATTCAGTTAAAATGTAAAAGTGATTGAACTGATGGGATAGTCAATATTAAGAAATTACCAAATAATCAAGATTTTATTTTGATGTGGTAACGGCATTGTGGTTTTATATATATATATATATATATATATATATATTTTTTTTAACTTCTGTGGTTATATTTTTAAAAATCGAAACCATCCCTTCTTGTAGAGATACACACTGAGTAGCCACAGATGGCAGGATGTGATTGTTCTGATTCAAAATGATTCAGCAAAGGAGGAATAGATAGATGGGAGCAGAAATTAAAGATGGACCTTGAATTCAATGTTGAAGCTGGGTGATAGGTACATGGGAGTTCCTCTTATATGAATGTTTAAAACTTTCTGTAATAACTTTTTTAAAAAAAGAGGTTGAAGGCAAGAGTGGTTAAGGACTCTGGTACAGTAGGAAAATGCTGGTAGAAAAGAAAAGATGAGAACAGGGAAGGGGTCAGCTGGCCCAGATCTCCTTGCTGGGGGTGGAGAGAGCCCTGCTGGGGCCGTGTGTGTCCACAACCCTGAGCTGACCTCCCCCCTCCACAGTGCGCAGGGCCATGGTCAAGATCCCTTCTACCCTGGAAGTCGACGTGGAGGATGTCACCGCCTCCTCGCAACACATTGACTTCATCCAGCCGCTGCTGCTGAGTGAGGCCCTGGCCCGAGGGGGCCCCTTCCCCCTGACCACGGAGATCCTAGAAGTTCCAAACGGGCCCCCCATCTTCCTCAGTCCCTGGATGGGCTCCTTGCAGAAAGGCCAGAGGCTCTGCATCTATGGCCTAGCCTCGCCACCCTGGCGGGTAATGGTCTCAACCAAGGGCCGGAAGGTGCCCAGATACTTCATGGTCTCTGGGGCCTACCACGGCAAATTGCGGCGACGGCCAAGAGAGTTCCCCACGGCCTATGACCTCCTGGGTGCTCTCCAGCCAGGCCGGCCACTCCGGGTGGTGACCACAAAGGACTATGAGGTCGAGGAGACGGGGCTCCCCGGGTTCACTTCCCTGGCTGTAGGAGACAGGCTGGAGGTGTTGGGGCCTAGCCAGGCCCACGGGACTCAGGGTGGGGACATAGATATCTTGGTGTGTCATCGGCTGAGTGACCTGGCTGGGGAAGAAGAGGAGGAAGAATATGAGGAGGAGGCAGAACACCAAGAACAGATTATGCTGCCCCTCTACTATGCTGGCAGCTTCGTGGAGGAGATGAATGATGGCCGACGCTATAGCCTGGCAGATCTGACTGCCCAGTTCTCACTGCCCTGTGAGGTTAAGGTGGTAGCCAAGGACAGCAGCCACCCTGCTGACCCTCTGCCCTCCTTCTCGGGCCTGCGTCTGGAGGAGAAGATCATGGAACCCTTCTTGGTGGTCAGCCTGGATTCTGAGCCTGGGATGTGCTTTGAGATCCCTCCCCGGTGGCTTGACCTGACTGTTGTGGAGGCCGATGGGCAGCCAGACCAGCCAGCTGGGCCTCTCCCCATAGTCACAGTGGAGGAGCTGTCAGATACCTTCTATTATCACCTTCGGAAGTTACCGACCTTCAAGAACCAACCCCCACCACCCAGGCCCCCAAAACGTCGGGCCCTCAGCGAACCCAAGATACAGAGCAGCAAGGCGAGTAGCATCAAGGTACAAATACAACCAGTGGGCAGGGAGGGGTCGCCTGTTGGGATCGCTGAAGGGCCTGCCATGTCTTCTTTGTCCAGCATCATATTGCTCTTACAATTGTATAGAACTTGCAGTTTATAAATTTGCACTTTGCACCTATTCTTCTTCCTCCTCCTCCCTCTCCTCCTTCTCCCCCTCCCCTTTTTTTTAAATTGGGGAACAGTGTGTTTTTCCAGGACCCATCAGCTCCAAGTAATTGTTTCAATCTAGTTGTGGAGGGCGCAGCTCCTATTATTCTGCACCTATTATTCTTATTCCATCCTGACAATCCCGACATTGGTGTGATTATCCACATTTTACGGTTAAGAAAATGAGGACTCAGAGACCCTGAGACTCGCCCAAATTCAGTTAATAAATGGGAGGTCTGAACTGGAGCATAAGCATTCTGACTCCAAGTTCATTGTGCTTTACCTCTCTTTGCTAACCCATGATGTCACTCCTTAGTTCAAGCTTCATCATTTTTCACCTAAACTGTTTCTTTCAGCAGCCTCTTCAATCCCTCCCCATAGCTGTCAGAATGGCCTCTCAAATCCGTCTCTGGTCACTGATGGGTCTAGGCCCCATTTTCTAAAACCTTCAAGGGCTCCCCAGTGCCGGGGGAAGTAATGCAGACCCCTTAACATGGCATCTGGGGTCCTTGGAAGCTGACTTTGGTCACGCCTTCCCATGTTCCACCAGCCTCTCTGCAGTCCACACTCCTGAAGCCCCCCACTAGGGCAGGACTGCTGCCTCAGCACTTCCCACACACCAGTCCTTTAGCCAGGCTTGTTCTTCCTCCTTCCAGGTTCATGGGCAAGGCTCAGCTCAGACTTCCTCTTGGGCAGAGTCCTCCCTCTTGTGTATTCACACTGCATATTGCATGTAGCGTGGGGGGCCGGGGAGGGAAGGGCACGTAGTTTTCTGTTAGTTGTACTTGAGTCTCTCTGGCTCGAATAAGAGTTCTGTGGGGGCAGGGACCTCACTCACTCCAATGTGGGCAGAGAAAGTGCCAGCGAATACTGAACTGAACCAAACTGAATCACAATGAAGGGGAAAACCAGACGCAGGCGAAGTTGATGTCCCAGGATACTCACTCTGTGGCCTGTACTCCCCTGAGCTTGTTTTCTCCCCAGGGAGCCCTAGATGACATCACTAGCTCACATTCCTGTTTCATTAGCTGCTACGTGTTGGGTGCTTACTCTGTGGCAGGCACCTTATATGCATTGTCCCACCTGGCTCTCATGTAGTCCCCTCTGAGGTGGGCACTGATATCATCTCTTTATAACAGTTGAGAAAACAAAGAGATGCAGAGAGGAAAAGTAGTTTTACCTGAGATCACACAGCAAGTGGCGGGCTGGGGTTTAAATTGGGTCTGACCACATGGCTCGAGCACCTATCATGCTGTTCATGTTCCGTACTGTGTGGGTAGATAGTGGGAGTTAATGAGATGAATTCTGAGTGGTCTCAGCTACAGGAGGGGGGGGGGTTCATATCTGCAGAGGAGGGGCAGTCATTTTCTGGAGACAAAGAATGGACTGGGACATCTGAAATACAGGCCTTGCAACAGTGTTAGAAAGAATACGAAGAATTCAGAGACCTCAGTCCCAGCCTTGGCTCCTGATGGAAGTGACTTTGGGCCCAATTCCTGCTTGTTGTCCTTGAACCAGAAGCTCTTCCTCTAGGCATCAGTATTCTTGCTGTTGATCAGGGGAGATCTACTGTTTGCTCTCCAAAGCACGGTGTGGTGGAAAGAACACTGGCTTTAGAGGGGACAGACATAGCCCAGCTAGGGATCCCATGTGGGGTTTGACATGGCATACTCTCTTTGAGCCCATTTCCTCATGGGTAGATTGGGGACTGAGCCAGCTACTCAGAGGGTCACTTGAGGATTAAATGTACAGCTGTGCATATAGCATCTGGCACATTGCTATTCAATGCAAGTCCTCTTCCTGCTGGTGCTCCTCTCAGCTCTGGCACTGTTCTGAGGCTCTGTGACTGCTGTTTTCCCTTCGGCAACAGATGTGAAGGACACTGACCAAACCCCCATGTGGAGAAACTCAGAGACACCATCTCTAGCCCCCCAATCTCTCATCTCTCACCCTGACCATTTTCTGCCTAGCCAAAGAACATTTCATGTGCTTATAGCAAAAACCCCTTAAGTCCTGAGAAGCCCTACCCTGAAAAGGAAGTAGAGAAGGGAGCAGAGGAAGTGACATTTGAAGGAAATTACATTTCATGGATTCTGCTGCTCTACTTCTTGGAACCCTGCTGACTTCTGCTTTTTCTCCCACTTAGTCTTTTCAAGTCTCAGAGCTGCAGGAATCCCCTCTGTTGCCCAAACTCAAGATGAAAACCTTGCCAAAGGTCACCCAGGGCAAACCAGATGTATACAGCAAGGTTATCCCTAAGAAGGGCCCCAGGCCCACTCAGTCCCACACACAGGATCCAGGTGAGTCCCATCAGCCCATTCACCCTTGTCCTTGCCTCTCCCATTCCTCCTCCGTTCCTCTGCTGCTGGCCATACCCTCAGGAGGGCCCTCCCCAATGGGCAGGCCCTTCTGCAGCCCCAGCTGGATGACCAGGCCTATATGGGGTGGGCTTAGGCTTATGGGTCCCTACTGTCCCCCTCCCAGGAGCTCCAGAGCCCTGGCAAGGAAAATGAATTAATCTCCCAGCACACTACCCTTCCCAAAGCACACGGGGAATGTGTGCAGTATTCAGTCAGAACAAACTGTAGTTTCTGGGCTAGCAAGGACCTCAGAGCCCCCAGACCAACCCCTTCCTTCCCTGTCCAGATGAGAAGTGTGCCCTGAAGAGGGAAAGGAACCTGCCTAAGACCAAAGATCCTCACTGACTTGGACTCTTTTGCAGGTGATGATGAACACGACTATGAAGAAGTAGTTGAGAACTTACGGAAAACCCTCTAGATGCTGGAGGAACCGTGCTTCCTAACTGCTGTTTCTCAGGGAATCCTTTACGAGCCTTTGGAAGACCTTAGACAAGATCTCACAGAAATCAGACGGCGGACAGGGAATGGCTTTTTGAGGCTGATCTGAGGAAATGGGAAGAACACTGCACCAGCTACCCTCAGGTTCTAGGTTCCTGCCACTGAGGGCTGGCTTGTTTGGGCCCAACTTGCACTTGATGCCCTCAGACTCAGCTTTGGTATCCAGAAGAGCCAACCGGCTTCTGTTGAATCCTGCATCCCCAACACCAGCTGTCCCACTGGGCGGTAAGAAAGGAATAAAAGAAGCCACAAACCTTGGTGATGGCAGCAGTGCCTCCTGCCTTTCGGTAAAGGGGGACTCAATACTGACTGCACTGAGAGCCTTTACCTCCTCGTCCCCCTTCCTGCTCCACTCCTCCCCTCCCCTGCCAAGGTTCTAAGCTCTTGAGAGACCAGGACTGTTCCTCATCCCTGTAGCACCTAGCACATGACAGCTGTAGGTGACTACCCAAGATCATTTCACTCAAAAACTGTAAAATAAAAATGACACCTTAGCTTCTGGAAAAATGACAAGATATTGCTTAATTCTGCGTGCCAGACCCTTTACAAACCGATTTAAATCCTCAACTTTCTGAGGTAGATAAGAGGCTGGTTTTAAAGATCAGGAAACAAGCTTGAGAAGTCAAGTGTTTCAGGAAGCAGACTAGACATGAACCTGGGTTAGGATCCCAGCTCACCACCTATCAGCTATGACTGAGCAAGTTATTTTAACTTAAGACTCAGTTTCTTCACATGTAAAATGAAATGAAGTTATCTACCTCACAGGATTGTTTTAAGAATCAAATGAGATAACCTTTGTAAAGCATTTAACACAGTGCCTGGCACATAATAAACACTCGATAAACATGTATCATTATTGACCAAGGCCAAACCTATACTCTTTCCACACGCCCACAGTGTCTCCCAGTCATGGAATTCATGTTTTAACTCAGCTTCCAAGGTCATCCTAGGCTTGTTCAGTGAGGTAAGACCACAGACCTAATTTCCTCAAGTGGTGGGACTGTGGTTTCCTGGGTTGATGCAGTATTGGATTAAGCACCATGGTCAGTAGACAAAAAGATGAGTCTCCAGTGGAGGTTAGAGCTGAAAGAGGACGACACTTCCAACTCCTGGATTCTAGGCACCACACCTGAGTTTGTCATCCTTTTGCCTGCTAACATCCCTCTGAGCTGTGGGGACCCAGGGCACTTCCCAGGGCTCCTGGCCTCCATCCCCCTGCATGGAGTCCTCCAGGAGACTGCTGAGCGGCTACCACAGGCTGTGGGGCCAGCCCTCTGTATCTAGCACCCCATTCTCAGCTTCCCACCAGGTCCCATGCCCTCCTCCAGAAAGACAATGCAAACTGCACAGGAGGCCCCTGAGGAAGACAGTACCCTGGGACAAGCAATAAGCATGAGAAACAAAAGCCCCTCCTTGACATAGAACCCCTAGGGGCCAGGCCCACATGCAAAATGCCAAGAGCTTGAGCAAGATCACAAAAGGCAGGGAGAGGAGAGGCCTGTCAGTTCCTACAAAAGGGGCCAAAGGCTGCAATGAGGAGAAAGGGAAGCAACTTCACAACAGGGAAAGCTGGACTTAAAAGGAAAATATGTTTGAAAATCACAACTGTGCATATTTGATCAGAGTAACGAGGGTTGGCAGAGAACCAGGGAAGGCAGACACCGCCCTCAGGGTGCTTGTCTTACCTCTGGAATCAGCCACTGGGCGTCGGGAGGGTGTTCTAATGGGGCCAGGGATTCCCCCAGCAGTGGTCTCCAAAAGTGAGCAGACACGCCTGGGAGCACACAAGGTATTTGTACATCCCTTCGTATTTATTTTTATTTTATTTTTTTAGCTGAGCCATCCCGCCACCTGTTGGCAGCTCACGGCTGCTCAGCTCGGGCTGACTCGAACCGCTGTTGCTCAGAGCTCAAACTCTTGAGCGAGCTCTTAACCAACTGAGCCACTCAGCCGGCCCCATCCCTTCGTATTTATTTTTAATATCCTTTTTCATTCCTGTTTTTGTATGTTTTATAATGTATGATATACTAATATAGTAATAGATGTAAATAACTGCTAAATAAGTGAATATAAACTAGGGGTATATGCTCAAAAATATTAATGAGTTTTGAATTTCCCTCAACTGCATTTTTAAAAACCAATCTATTAATTCACATCAGATATTAATTCTCATTGGCCTTCTGTTAATTAAACCCAATAAAGTACTACTACTTCCCACCTGTGTACCTGGAAATTCTCCAGAAAGCAGGCTGGACTCACTGCTTGGCTGTGACACTGGGGAGTTTCTAAGAATTTGGGTCACACTGCTGTTCCTGCTGTCTTGACAATGTGTACTTGCCAGCAGAACACTGTATACCTGACCTTCCAGGGGACTATAAACTCCCAAGTGCAAATGCCTCCTGCTGTAGCAGGAGAGAAGCTTTGCAAGGGCTGGAGTTTCATTCTGCTGAGGAATGGCCTGTGTTCATCCCCAGCTCGGTAGTGCTCAGAAACCACACCACGCCTGTGAGACCATGTAAATGCCAAGAGGGCAGAGAACTGAGTGCTGCTGAGCAGCTACTCTGCTATGGGAATGCAGAACCAGCAAGTCCTGTGACGCCAAGCTCATATTTTGCTTTATATTCCTAGTGCCCGGCCAATGGGCTGACACAGCAGGTATTCAATAAATACTTGTTGAATTAATAAGTCATTTTTAATTGCTGAATCCTCAAATTCAAAATCAAAGGAAAAAAAGACTTCCACCCAGAACCACTGCTATTGCTTTGCCCATTTGAGGCCATTAGCATGCTAACTAGAAAGAGGAGTCCACCACCCATAAAAGTCTATCATGCATTCCAAATTCAAATGTACCTGACTTTTTAATCTATTTTTGGCCCACTGTCCTTTATTTTAGGAACCAATCAAGAATGGACATGCTTGCGAATAAACATACTGACTGACTTTTAAACATCTGCATAGCTACCAAGATGGGAACTTACCTTGCACATACAGAAAATAACTGCCACATCGCTGTTCACTGTTAGAAAGTAGGTGGGTGGAGCCTTCTCTACACAGCTGCTAGGTCTCATTTAGGAACAGCTAAAGCAATTATAGAATTTTTATTTGCATGTTACACCGCATTAACTTACCTCAGAATTAGTTTTCATTCAAAAAGCAGCTTATCTTTTGGAGTTGTCAAAAACATCTTTGAACTAGTCTCCCCTCACACAAGAAATGAGCTTAGTTGGCCAAAAGAGACTCTGGCCTCTAGAGTCTCATCTTGAGGTCAGATGGTAGGTGTTTAATTCAGTTATGTGATTATATAGTGCTACAGAATCAAGATTAAGGTCCACTTTATAACCCTTATTAATGGCAATGCTTTACAAACTTTATTTCAGTTTTCTAACAAACCCGTAAGGAAATAACATTGTTTTCTTTTCATAAATGAAGAAATAGGAAATGGAGGCTTTCAGGGCTGATGAGTCTATTTAGGATCCTAACTAAAAAGCAGGAGAGCCAAGATTTCAAATCCAACTCAAGTTATGCTACACTGTCTGATGATAAAACTTAAAAAGAAAAATAACATTTTCACAAGTTGCTGCAATAATAGAACTATTTTATTAAACATATGGATGTACTTATTTTATACAAAACACAGTAACATTTCTTCCTCATCTCTGCCCAAGGCCACCACTCTAAAACCTCATGTTTATAAAAACACTTCTGGCAGCAGTATGACATGGTGAAGGAAAGTGCAATTCTGAAAGTAATACCACATAACCAAAATGGGGAACAAAAACAGGCAGAGGTTAGCGAGTTTCTTGGCTAGCTCTCTACTCACAGGCCCTAGTCTTACTTATCTTAACAGAAACATTTTAGGAATAGAGACTCTGAGTATTATTAAGTAATGCCACCCAATTCTCTTGGTAGTGTCCCGTTCCATTTCTATCTATCCTGATAACCAGCAATTTGTAACTTCTTTAAGAAATCCACTCTGGCTTATACCTGTCAGTTGCCTTGATCCCTTTGAGTTTCAAAAAAACAGAAGAGCAGTAAGTTTCAAAAGGATGTCAACTGAGACCTTTTATAGATGAAACCTACTTTCTAGAAGTGAATTGGCCAAATATATGCAGAGCTGGAGACAATAGATTGTGAAAATAGGCCCAGCTGGAAAATATGTTGGGTACCCAATTAGATCCAGTTATTCTGCGTCTGTGGATTTAAAATGATCATCATCAACAGTGGAATAGATATGTCCCTCGTTGCTTAGAAAATCCACAGCTTGCCTAGAAAGAAAGGGGGAAAAAAAAAAAGGCTCATTTTCAAACCAATGCAGAAGAAAGGGAATTGCCTTTTGGGTATGGCCAAATATGTAAACTTTACTCATCTCCCCACTTTCTATCTTGGCTAAGAATGCACAGCCTTTTGCTCACAGAAAACTCTTGCAGGGAGAAATGCCAGTATAATTGCAAAACTGAGGTAATCCATGGAGACAATGTCTATTAGGGTTGCCTTGGACCCACTCCCAAATTGTGTAAAGGCAAGGAAATAGGGCCTCACTTCAACACCAGTCTAAGCAAATCAAAACAAGATCTAAAGCTGTAATCTTGCTGGCACTAAAATCTCCTAGTATATCTCCTAGTATAAAGAACTGTTTTTTAAAAGTTGCCCCTCCCTTCCCACCCACTGACCCTCTAGCTTCCCCTCTGCAAAGTAAAGTTGCAGGAAGGAAAGGAAAGGTCTTTCCAGAAATGGGAAGAGACCTTCAAACCCTTCAAGGCCCTCAGGGTCAGTGTCAGTAACATATTTAATGACAATCACAGTAACATGCAGTAGAGCACCTACTACATGACAGCCATTCTGTACCTCATCATCACAGTAACTCTGAGATAGAAACTATTATCCTCATTTTATAGACCAGGAAATGGAATCAGACCTGAGCATTTTTCTATCTAGGCCTAGAATATCAATTGATTTATAGCAACAAATAACTACACAAGCACCATTAACACTGTTTGATTAGCTCATTGGAATCAGAAAGCTGCTTGTCTAACATTATCAGGACAAGGATGTTGGAAGGACTGTCTAGTGGCTGCAGGTCCAGACAGCCTCATACACATATCACCAGTGGGGACAGTAATGTAAATGGGACTGCACACCTGAGGACGAGCTAAGATCTCGCTCCTCCAGTTTAAATCCACAAGAAGTGCCAGGTCAGTTTTTGCTGAAAATTTTATCTCCCACACATAGTGGGACTCAGTGTTTGTTGAATGAACAAACGAATGAGTGATGTGACAGGCAGCACCATCTCTGTACTTCTTTTTTCTATTCTTCCCTGACTGAACAACTTCCCTTCTGTCAATAAGGCTGTAGTCAACAGAAAGTTTTTGTTTGTTTTTTATTTTATTATTTATTTATTTATTTTTTAAGCTGAGCCATCCTGCCACCTGTTGGCAGCTCAGCTCAGGCCGTGAATGGAATCGGTGACCCTGTTGCTCAGAGCTCGCACTCTTGAGAGAGGTTTTTGTTTGTTTTTTAAAACTCACTTCTCATTCCCAGGAAACCCTGATGAGGTGAAATGAGTATAATTCTGGAGTCCTAGCTCATGCATGGAAACCAAATACTCACTTGATTGAGGCTAGAGGCATGTGCTGGAGCTGGTTCTTCAGTTCATGAAAGTTCAATCCTTCAGGTCTTGGGCAAGCCTTAATCAAATTCAGCACCTGAAGATTTGAATCAGAAAGATTTTAGCAACTAGTTTGACTCAGCTCCCCATGTAAACCTAAGTCTGCAGCCTTAGAATCATTAAGGAAGTAACAAAGTTTAGGATTGTCTGTTTTGCATTTCTGGAGCCACGTGGGTAGAGTTTACCTGGTTTTGGGCCACAGTGAGGCCATTTGCCGGCATGAGGCTATTCATAACAAACTGCCCTGCTTCACCCATTCCTTGATTGCTGGCAGGTGCTCTCCCTGCTGGGGGCTGAATTAAAAAAATAAGTTTACAGCATGAAAAAAATCATCAATTAAAAAAAAATCATCAATTTAAACAAAGCCCTCGCTATTTTTTTTAAGAGCTTGTTAATAAATAAGCAGCTTACAAAAACAATTTAAGCAGAGTTTTCCCAATTACAAATACGTATTTATATTGGAAGGGAGAGCTATTATCTAATATTTCAAAGGAAGGTAGTTTAATCCTCTAAAGCACACATCATATCAAACAGAGAGAAAGGTACCTTTTGGCTCCTTCTTTTCTTTCTGATGTGAGGGGAACCAGAGAAAAACTAGCACTGAGAAGAAAATTACCTGAAGATTTGCTATAATGGTATCCTTGGTGTTCAATCATTCAAAGCATTTATTGTCAACTAGGCATACAGTGTTACAGGAAGAGAAAAGGAGACATAGTTCCCATCACCCTCCCTTCTTTTTTACCACCAAAGTTTTAAAAAAAGAACAGACTATAATCACTGTTTTCATTTCCCTTCTCCTTAGTCACTCAACTCCCCATTCTTTGGATTCTCCCCAATACATCTCTGAATCTATTCTCACCAAAGTCACCAATGACTTTTCAACCAACTACCTAACAGTATCTTTCAGTCCTCAAAACGCTTGACCTCTCAGAAGCAGACACTGCTGACCACACTCCTCTTGTAACACTCCCTAGGCTTCTGGATATTCATTGTTCTGGTTCTCCACTTACCTCTCAAACCACATCTTCTCAATATCTCTTATCAGCCTCTTCTTCTACCTGTCTCCCAAAAGGCTGATAATTCCCCAGGATTTCACTCCAAACCTCCTCCCAGGCCACAAATCCTCGTTCCCAGCCATCTGCTAGATACCTCTACCTAGGCATCTCACACATTTCAG